AGAGTTGGGGAGGCATATGAACAGGATACATTGTATACATTTATGAAATTTTCAAAGAACAAATTAACACCCCCCCCCCCGCAAGCACCCATCAAGAGAACAGAGAAACAAATTGTAGTACGTTAATCCAATGGGATTCTATTCAGTTAAAAAAAAGTAACGTGGATAAATTTCATAAATATCATATTGAGTGAAAGAAAACAAACATGGATACACATCCACAAACACACACCACAAGATTTATATAAGGTTCAAGAATAAGTGATCATAATCTATGGTATAAAAATCATGAAGTTCTTTCCTCTGAGGCAGAATTAAGGGAAATTATTTGGAAAGGGGCAGGAGCAAACTCTGGAGCAATGGCAGCACTCCCCATCATGCTGAGTGGGATTAACCTAGGGGTGAAATTATCAAAGTATCAAACTGTTCACTTAAACTCTGGATGTTTCATTGGGAAAGAGGAGGGAATTCATCACCAGGAAACATGAAAAATCAAAAAGGTGGTACTTATTTCACTTAACAGAGAGTATCTCCAGGTTCACACATGTTATCACAAATGGCATGATTTCTTTCTTTTGAAAAATTATTATTTCTTATTTTTATTTTATGTGTATGAGTGTATTGCCTGCATGTGTGTAAGTGTACCCATATAGCACAATGCCTGTGGTGGTCAGAGAAGGGTGCTGGGTCCCCTGGAACTGGAGTTACAGATGGTTGTTAGTTATCATATGGGGGTGCTGGGAACCAAACTAGGTCCTCTGCAAGAGCAGCTAGTGCTCTTAAATGCTGAGTCATCCTCCAGCACCAATGCCTCCTTTTGCAAGGCTGCATATTATTCCACTGTGTATCTGTCCCACATTTTCTTTATCCATTCATCCTCTAATAGATCCTTAGGTTGATTCTATACACAGAAATTTTGAATAGTTCAGCAGATATCTCTGTGACTTGCTGACTTAAGCTCACTCAGATCTATTCCTGGTAGCAGAGTTGCTAGGCCGTATGGCAGTTCTATCATCTGGGAGTCACGATGTTAGTTTCCTGAGGAACCTCCACACAGCTTTCCATAGTAGCTGTGCTAATTTCCATTTCTACTCACACTACACAAGAGTCTGCATTTTCCCATACCCTTGCCAATCTTGTTATCTGTCGTCTTTTCGATAATAGCCATTTTTAAAGGAATGAGATGATCTCTCATTCTGTTTTCCATTTGCATTTCCCTGATGATTAATGGTGCTAAGTAAGGCACAGGAAGATAAATACTGCATCACTGCACTTCTCCATGGAATAAAAACAAACAAACAAACAAAACAAAACAAAACAAAAAAAAAAACTGATCTCGTAAAATTACAGAATAGAATAGTGGGTCCCAGCAGCTGAGGTGGATAGGGAAGGGAGTTTGGAAACATGGTGGTCCAAAGGTAAATATTTATATCTGGATAAGGGGATTCAAGGAATCTATCCCACATTGTGGTGGCTATGCAAATGACAGCATATTACATATATAACGTTAAGGGAGAGGAGATTAAGTGTTCTTATCACAAGAATGACAACTATGGGAGGGAAAACATTGGGAACGAGCTAGATTTTCTACCTCACAAGGAGCATTCTGCTGTACATATAATTATATGTCTCAGTTTAAAACAAACAAAACAAACTTAAGGGGCTGGAGAGATACCTCGGTGGTTAAGAACACTGGATGCTCTTGCAGACAACCAGGGTTTGGTTCCCAGCATCTACATGGCAGCTAACAACCATCTGTAACTCCAGTTGCAGGGGATCCAATGCCCTCTTCTGGACTCCATGGGCACTGCATGACACAGGTGCACTTACATACATGAAGGCAATACGCTCATACACATAAAATAAAACTAATAAAATAAAAAAATAAAAAAACAAGCTTAACCATTATGTGATTATTCAGCAGAAGGAAGGAATCTGATATATCAATAGATCTACTTAATTTTTAAAAAATATTTTCAAATATTTTTTAAGTGTTAAAATAATTCTATTTTTTAGTCTAAGCCCATGGATTCTTCTAAATAGAGAAACAGCCTTGTAGGTTAATATACTTGAGAGAAACAAAGAGAAGCCAGTAGCATATAAATATTTCAGTCCTTATTAATTAAAAATAGAACATTTCACAATCTGGAGGTTTGTTAAGACAGGAAAGGCCCCAAGGAAACAGGTGAGAAGATCAAACTGGAACCTAGAGCCAGCAGCTGTGGCTTAGCAGGTTAATAAATATGCGAAACAAAAACTCAACAAAGCACTGAAAAGTCTGCACTTGCAAGTAATTAACACACTAATCAGAACACTTGCTGTGTGTAATCAGCCTCACCTCATACTGAAAGCAAGAGTTCCAGGGATGCAATGGATTCTCTCCACTGAGAGGTGGAATAACGGAAACAACTAGGTAAAGGTGTGCAGGAAGCAAGGGGAGGCAGTCAAACTTGTGCCACGCACTCCCTATTCTTGGTGAATATGGTAAAGCCCAGCCTTCCTCTCACCTATTCATAACCATTCTCCCCACAAGAAAAGAAAAACAAATTCATAAGGTTTGTATTTATGCTTTTATTTTCAAGCTCATCACCAGTTTTGTTTTTTTTTTTAAAAAAAAAACTGTGTGTGGATGACGAGTATGTACGGCTGTGCGTGTGTTGCAGTGTGCATGTGGAGGTCAGAGGACAACTTTCAGGAATCAGTTGGATCCTTCTACCCACAATTTGGGGACCGAACATATGTCCTTAGGCCTGTGAGGCAAGTGCCTTTACCTGCTGAACTATCTCGTAGGGCCTCATCACTAGTTTTAAAAGTGAAATTTCAACTTTAACTGTGTTATTTATTCTTATTTACTACTGAGAATGTAGTGCTGTGGCAGAAAAATGCTTACCTAGCATGAGGTAGACCCTTATAGATTATCAATTTAAAAAGAATTCTTACTGGTAAATGGAAACCAAATGCTTGATCCAGTAGTGATTATACTCAGACATGTTGCATTTTCAGATAAAAAACTAGAATTAGCAAACACTTTAGAGGATTAAACCTATGACCAAAACACAGGTTCTCATATATAAGATAACTAATAATTATCATTTCTTTAGAACCATAGTTTTTTTTTTAAAAAAAAAAAGCAAGAAAAAAAAACAAAGAACAGTAGCTCAACAATTTTTCATCCCTGACATACCTATGACTTGTCGGAACACACATCTCCTGTTCTGTCATTTATCCATCCTCTTCATATAGCCTGTGGTCTCCACACCCTCTCCTGAACCACTGGTCTCACCCTGTCCTCCCTCATAATTACTTCCATGTGAATTTTCTACTTCTTTCTCTCTACAATGAATGAGACCTGGTCAGAAATCACAAGGAAAATGGACAGAAAAAAGGAATGAGAGAAAAGGAGTTTACAAAATAAGCTAACTAGAACTAAGGTGTGTAGCAAAGTTATCAATGTGACAATAACTCTAAGAAATCTGCTTTTCAATCGCTGAATGACCAAATAGGTCAACATTGCAGGATTTATAAAAATAAAAAAAAATTAGTAATGAATTTTATTAACATACATGGAACAACAGCTTACCCAAATACTTTTTAAATGCTGGAAATATAAGTACACACTAACACTGAACACTTCCCATAACACGAGGACCAGTAAGAACAGTTGTGTATATACCATCTAAATCTGGGTTTGGTGAGGTTTGTTCTTTGAATCAAGTAAACTGAGATGAAATGTTTGAAAACATCGTCTTCCTCCATATCCTAGGGCACTGTAAAATGTTCTTTATGCCTGAACAACCCTGAACTTATGTAAATTCCATTCTCATAAAGATGTGTCAACTCATACAGCCTCGTGAGGAGTTCTCAAGCTCTGAGTAGGACTAGATAGAACAACTATTATATTAGAGAAAGCAAAGGAGTTCCAAATCAGGTGTGCAGTTTTGCCCCCTTAGAACCTCGCTAGCCTATAAATTCTTTTGGAATCAATGAAATGTAAATGAAATAATTTATATAAATACTATAAACTATGGTAGATACATGAAGTTGGATGCTACTAGATGGTAAGAATAAGGATTAATATAAAATAATCCAAAGTAAGTTATGATAAATAAGGTAATATATTAAACAATCATTGCTTACTTAAAAAGACAATTACACTACAGATTGGCTCCAGGGATTTATTCATAGTACATGTTTCAGAGATGATGTGAGGCAGTGATTGGACTCTAAGTCCCCCTATTTGATTTTATGAAGCCCATTCACAATGAACCAGGTTGAGAACATCACCAATTCCATGTTCTGGGTCCATCTGTTGGCAAAAATATAATGCAAACAGCTTTGTAAGTGCTATTTTCAATGAAATATCACAGAACAGCTTGTCCCAATGATATTTCTAAAGCTTGCCTGCAAACCGCCTACTGGGAAATCCAATTGAAAGAGAAGGGGGATGAGGGAAAAAAAATCCAGACAAGTGACAGGAAGGGAAAGAAGAACAAAAGGTAGACAGACTACTGAGAAACGCGAACACTACAGGGAAATAAGGGGAATGGATGTCACGGGATCAAACACAGACAAAAGTATTAGAAACCATAACTGTATAGAAAACACTGATGTTGGAGGATAGAGAAAGTAGCACAAATAATGCATCATGTCCAGAGAAATAAAGACAAAAAGGCCAGGAATCATCAGAACACATTAACAGCTTGATAATTGCATGCTATTATTGAGATATTGTGAGAGGAAAATGTGGAACAGCCATTTTTCTAAGCTTCATTTAATTCTTCTCATAATATAAAAGTTCATTTTCTGAGAGCTAACAGAGAGCTCAGTGTCTATTATGAACTTCATAGGAAGCAAACAGCCTTTCCTCAGTCCCTCCTTTTAATTTGAAAATCTATTACATATCATACAATAGTACAGGCATCACAGTATAAGTGGTTTACATGTGTTGATTCAAAAGTAAAATGCATTACAGGGCAGATGATGTCATTCTGGGTACTTACCTGTGGTCGGATAACTTTTACGATATTTTTTAGGGCAGTGTCAGGGGATGGAGGTGAGCAGTCAGGTGTTGGACCTGTCGAGCTGTTTCTATGGTTACTGGTTCCTGGAGCAGTAATTGCTACCTCAGAGGCATTATCTGTGAATAAAAATAGAGCTATCATGAACAGAATCAACTCAGTTTACCTCTGAAGACTCGAAACTGTTTTCGTGAACATGAGTTGAGATTTCAACTTAAAACTGGTATCAATTATGATCAAAATTAGGAATATGCTCAGTAGTATATTTAAAGAAAATATCTGTTGAATGCTGTTTTCCTTCAAAATGGTAAATATCAACCCTTGTAATATTGTTCCAACAAGAATGAGTAATAGTCAGTTTATAATGGTGGGTCATCTGTTGGAGCTCCTAAAACTGTTATTGTTAGTTGAATGACAAAGATCTTCCTTTCAAAAGGAGCATGATTTTGCAATATGGTTGACCAACAATTTTCCTATAATTTTTCTAATGAGTACTCATTTTCACTAATTAGGAATTTCTTTTTTTTAAATTTTTCTTATTTTTATTTTACGTGTATGCGTGTATTGCCTGCATGTAGGTAAGTGCACCTGTGCTGTGCAATGCCCACGAAGGTCAGAAGAGGCTGTCGGATCCCCTGGGACTGGAGTTACGGACAGTTGTTAGCTTCCATGTGGGTGCTGGGATTTGAACCTGGGTCTTCTGCAAGAACAATCAGTGTTCTTAACCGCTGAACCATCTCTCCAGCTCATAATTAGAAATTTCTTATCTACTTGTTTCCTAAAATCCAAATTCAAGCACCTGAAAGGACTTTGCCTAGACACCCCTAAATCATAGAGGGGCATGCTAGTGAACAAACTTAGATTTAAAAAACGGACATTTGTGGGCTGGAGAGATGACTCAGCAGTTAAGAACACTGGCTGTTCTTGCAGAAGACCTGGGTTTGAATCCCAGCACCCACACGGCAGCTAACAACTGTCCGTAACTCCAGTTCCAGGGGATCCGACAGCCTCTTCTGTCCTCCGCTGACATTGCACGACACGGGTGCACTTACCTACATGCAGGCAATACACACATAAAATAAAATAAAATAAAAATAAAAATATTTTTTAAAAAACTGACACTTGTACAGAATGTAGATACACTTATAAGAATATAATCCTATATGCTCAAAACTAAAATGAATGAAATTTCAAAATTTAAATTAATCTTCCTTGATGTTCACTGTCTGATGGTGGGAGGTACAAGAAGCTTAAAAAGAAATGACTTGAAGTTCAGCATCTTGTGTAACATTTTCTTCGATTTATATTAAAACAAAATAATATCTGAGTTACAATTTGGGAATGTTTGAAAAACTTTGAAAAGGATGGAAAATGTCCTAAAAAATAACTTCTGCCAGCATCCAGAAAAGTTGTATTACTTAATGATAATTTGGCAAGTCTCTATAGCTTTTCATGAAAGCTGTTGCAAGCTCAAATCTGCAAGAACTTTACCTCCTTATTATGTTTTTACTTGGTTCCCAATAATTCTCTTCCCTAGACAGCTGAATTGACGCAAAATAGACCCAGATTGTGAATTTATTGTAAAAAGCAGGTTTTTCTGTTCCGTGACCACTGTCTATAATCCCAAATGAGCAGAAATAACTTATAAAGGCACCTCTTACTTATAAAAAGCAAGGATATAAATTCACATAAGTCTGTCCATCAGATAAAAATACAATTCAGTGCCTGGGGAGATGGTTCAGTCAGTAAAGTGCTTACCGCACAGGCATGAAAACCTGAGTTCATATCTCCAACACCCATGTAAAAGCTGGGGGGGGCTCTAGTACATATCTGTGATCCCAGTTCTGGGGTGTGATGGAGGAAAGAGACAGAGGATCCACGAAGGTGTGGACCTCTGGCTTCCACAAACATGTACACGCACATGCATGAACATCCTCATGCATACATCCACATGAATGTGTACACACATATACTACAGAGAGAGAGAGAGAGAGAGAGAGAGAGAGAAATACAATTCAGTCTCAGCAAGAAATCATGAAACAAAAAATTTAAATGTGGCACATTGAGATACATGGATCATTCATAAAAATATATCTTAGGGGCTGGAGCGATGGCTCAGTGGTTAAGAGCACTGGCTACTCTTGCAGAGGACTTGGGTTCAATTCCCAACAACCACATGGCAGCTAACAACTGTCCATCACTCCAGTTCCAGGGGAATGAGATGCCCTCTTCTGATCTCTGTGGGCACTGCATGACATGGGTGCACTTACATACATACAGCCTATACACATAAAATAAAATAAATAAATAAGATACTTTTAAAATAAATCTTAAACCATCCAGAGTGCACTTTTGATCGAGAGTGAATAGAAAATGCGGAATTTGAATTGGTATCTCAGACGAGGTGAGGTAATCTTCTAAGTAGGCTAAATATTGAAATTTAAAAAATATTAGTTAGCAAGATAGCAGCAAATCGTGACTCTCTCATTCACCCTTCATTTTTTTAAATGCATCCAGCCACATGGCTTAAAAAATTACTGGAATATAACCACATGCAAGTATTATGTTATGTATAAAGATAGCGGCATACAGCAACAGGCTGAGCATGGGCACTCCCCTGCCTGAGGGGCTGAGCCAAAAGAATCTCTTTGCCAGAGGCTAGGAAGGGAGAGGGGAGGATAGGCAAAGCACAGAGGAGTTTAGGAGCACCGAAACTGTCCTGTAATGATATCATCTTGGTGGACACGTCATTGTACATACATCCAAGCTACAGAATGTGTAACTCTGCAAGTGAACCTTAAATTTAAGAATTAGTTGTGAATGTGGGTTCATCATTTATAACAAATGGACCATTCTAGTGAGGGGTGCTGATAGTTAGTGGGAGATATATGGGACTCTATATTTTTGCTCGACTTTGCTGTGGACCTAAATATGGTCTAAAAACAATATCTGTTAAGAGCTTTTGTTTGTTTGTTTGTTTGTTTTGGCTTTTCGATAGCTGTAGCCCCAGCTGTCCTGGAACTCACTTTGTAGACCAGGCTGGCCTTGAACTCACAGAGATCCACCTACCTCGGCCACCCGAGTGCTGGGATTAAAGGCATGTACCACCACGCCTGGCTAATATCTGTTAAAGTTTTGCCTACTTAATTATATTTTTAGTATAATCATTTCCTGATCTATTAAACAGAAAGAGAGAAAAGTCAAAGATGACTAAGGTTGGGGCCCAAGGAATTGGAGGGATGCAGCTGATCAGGAGAGATGATTAAGGCTACAGGGCACACATCCTCCACCTTACTGCTTATTTTCATGGCTCCTTTTGGACTTCATTGAAATAATCTTAGATGGAAGCTATTTGTTCTTCTTATCATTTACTCTTTTCTATTGTTCACATTATCTCTGTGTTGCATTCAGAAGAGGTTATTATATTTATTTTCCAGTTTACTTTTTCTTTCTTCAGCTGTATCTAGTCTGCTTTCAAACCCTTTTCTTAATTTCAATTATATACTTCAGTTCCAAAATTTCTATCTATTATTACCACAACACTTCATATTACTATTTGATATTGTTTACTTTCCCATATTTTGAAACTTGGCTCTTATTTATTTGAAAATGTCAGAGAGTTCTTTTTAGTGTACATGTTTAGCTAGAATTTTAAAATATTTTTTAATTTGACATACAATAATTGTACATATTTATGGGGTACAGTGATATTTTGTATATCGAGACAATATGCAATAATTGGACCAGGGCAATTGGCTTATGAAGCATCTCAAACATTTATTTTTTTTTTTTTGTATTGGGACTATCTGGAAGTGGGGAAGGAACAGGAAGGATGGCGAGAGGAAAATTAACAGATTCTGGGGCATAGATGGATTGGATGAACAACTTCTAATTTAAAAAAAAAGAATTCCCGTATCTAAAGTCTTCAGTGACCTCCATGGCTTTCATTCTCCCTCACGCCACCTTGTCCACTGTCTCTTCATCCACTTATGCGACTTTTTACTCTCATTGTTAAGGCAAAAATCTATAGCATTAAATATAACTAATTCTTTTCTTCATCATATATTACTTCAAAACAGTATCAAAATTTGCTTTCAAATACCTGATGTTGAATTCTGTGAAAAGATAAGTCTGATTGATACTAGACAATTTATTTAACCTTTCTGTACATCAGAGTTCTTGACTATAAAATTGAGAATTGTCAGTAACCATCTTCTATGGTCTATGTGTACAGATAAAATTAAAGATAGCTCCCTTATATGTTATTTGATAAATAAGTTCCTTTTTCTGCTATCAAACTAAATGTCATAATTAAATAAGACGTGGAAGAGGAAATAAATCTCATAGAGAAAGTGAGAAAATAAATAAGTAGGAATGTTTCATATATAACACATTTATAGAAATGACCTTGAGTACATGGGTAAGGTTTGAGAGCCTACCTTTTAGCTATTAAGACAAACTAATACAGACAAAATTTAATTCCAGAAATGTCTACACTTAGAAAGAGATTTACTATAAGGAGTTGGCTCACAAGACTATGGAGGTGGAGAGGTCTCAAGATCTGCAGTTTTCAAGCTAGAAACAAACACAAGAGAGCTGATGTGTAGTTCTACTCTAAGTTCGAAAGACCGGGAAAAAGGTGAGCTGATGGTCTAAAATCTATTATGCTCAAAACCTTAGACAGGCCAAAGTTTCAGTCCAAGTCTGCAGGCCAGAAAACACCAGTGCTCCAGCTCAACCCATCAGGCAGGGGAGTGCCCCAATACTCAGCCTGTTGCTCTATGCTGCTCTTTAGTAGCTTGTAGGATGTCCACAACATTAAGGAAGACAAACTGGTTTGCTTAGATTTACCACTCAAATGTTGATTTCATCTATAAACAACCTCACATACAAACCCAGAATAATGTTTTGCCAAGTGTGAGTACCCTATCTATGAGCAGTTAAGACATAAAAATAACCACCACAGAGATGACCCACTACAAGGGCTGGCCCTATTAGTCGCTTTTGTACTAAATCAGAAAATGCTCAGAAGCCCATACATATCACAAACCAAAATGTTCCTTACAAGAGTTAAACATAAGACTAGGTAATCACGTACTAATTTTTGTTAGAAAGATTA